AATTACAAAAGAAATACATGAAATTTTTTTCTATAGACCTTAATACAAAAGTGAGATTCAATGCTTATCAAATTAGCTAGAAAATTAAAATTATGTCAATAAAAAAAAGTTTGGATGGTTGTCCGTGTCTGTATTTTCTACAGGCCTAGTCCTCCAAAGTTGGTGAATTTTTTAAGGTAAAATAATTTTCTCTTACTATTTAATTTCTATCTTCTTCTTTTCTTAATAAAACATAGTTGTATTTAAAAATTTTGTAGAAATAAATACTGAATCTATTGTTGAACTCAATATATCGTTGACGAATTGAAAAATAAAGTTGAAGAATGTCAAAAGGGTTTAATAAGATTTCGATGTAGGCAATTATAATGTAGGGTAAATATTCCATACACTAAAATTACAAAGATTTTTATTAAAGGAAAAGAGGTGTACATTTAACTAAAATGTAATGAAAACTTTGGAAAATATGTACTTACTGGTCTTAAGTAGAGAAGATCAAGAGCTACTTAAAAGACATAATTAAAAAAATAGAAATTTTTTGCATATATAATTTTAATTTCGTTGATAGAAATCAAATTCACTTTTACTATAAGTCTTCTAAAAAGCAACTTCCTTTTTGTTTAAATATGGTCTTTAAATCGATACCTGATTGATTTGAAAATTCTCCTTTCAGAATTAATGCTCCTTTAATTTAGAATATTGCCATTTTGGATATAAGAAGTGAATTTTGGTATCTGGAGACTATAAATATTTAAAATATAAATATTACTTTCTGAAAAATGACTATTTTATTGGAGCTAAATTTTAAATTATTTAATAATATCTTTGTATTTTTTATCGGACGATTTGATTTCTTATCCATTCTTGACTTCCCATAGATGGATAGATTTATCATAATTACCAGAAGCTAATCTTTAACCATCAGGAGAGAAACAGACTGATTAGACCCAACTAGTACCACTATCTAATCTGACTTTTTATTATCCTGTTTTGACATCCCATAGACGGATAGACTTATCATTACTACTAGAAGCTAATGTATTTCCATCAGGAGAGAAACAAATTAAGTAGACAGTCCCACTCTGACCATCTAATTTGGCTTTTTATTACCCTGTTTTGATATCCCATAGACGGACAGACTTATCATTACTAGCAGAAGCTAATGTTTTTCCATCAGAAGAGAAACTAACTGAGTTAACATATCTAGTATGACCTTCCAATTTGGCTTTTTATTATCCTGTCTTTACGTCCCATAGACGGATAGAATTATCATTACTACCAGATGCTAATATATCTAAATCAGGAGAGAAATAGACTGAGTAGGCAGTTCCACTTTCACTATCTTACTTGACTTTTTATTATCCTGTATTAACATCCCATAGTCGGATAGACTTATCTTCACCACCAGATGCTAATGTATATCCATCATGAGTGAAACAAACTGAAATAACATAACGAGTATGACCATCCAACATGGCTTTCTATTATCCTGTTTTGGCATCCCATAGACGCACAGAGTTATCACCACTACCAGAAGCTATTATATTCCCATCAGAAGAGAAACAGACTGAGTAGACAGTTCCACGATGGCCATCCAATTTAATTTTTTATTCTCCTGTTTTGACATCCCATAAAAGGATAGACTTATCATCACCTGCAGATGCTAATGTATTTCCATCATGAGTGAAACAAACTGATAAAACTCTATCACTATGACCATAAAATGTGGCTTTTTATTATCCTGTTTTAACATCCCATAGACAGATATACTTATCAATGCTACCAGAAGCTATTATATTTCCATCAGAAGAGAAACAGACTGAATAGACAGTTCCACGATGGCCATATAATTAAACTTTTTATTATCCCGTTTCGACATCCCATAGACAGATAGACTTATCACCACTACCAGAAGCGATTATATTTCCATCAGAAGAGAAACACACTGAGTAGACAGTTCCACAATGGCCGTTCAATTTGGCTATCTTTTATCCTGTTTTGGTATCCCATAGACGGATAGAGTTATCATCACTACCAGAAGCTATTATATTTCCATCCAAAGAGAAACAGACTGAGTAGACAATTCCACGATGGCCATATAATTAAACTTTTTATTATCCCGTTTTGACATCCCATAGACGGATAGACTTATCATCACTACCAGAAGCTATTATATTTCCATCATAAGAAAAACAGACCGAGTAGACAGTTCCGCGATGGCCATATAATTAAACTTTTTATTATCCTATTTTAACATTCCATAGTCGGATAGACTTATCATTACTACCAGAAGCTAATATATTTCCATCAGGAGAGAAACAGACTGAGTTAACATGATGGGTATGACCATCCAATTATTCTTTTTATTCTCCTATTTTAACATCCCATAGACGGATAGACTTATCATTACTACCAGAAGCTAATATATTTCCATCAGGAGAGAAACAGACTGAGTTAACATGATGGGTATGACCATCCAATTATTCTTTTTATTATCCTATTTTAACATCCCATAGAAGGATAGACTCATCATTACTACCAGAAGCTAATGTATTTCCATCAGGAGAGAAACAAACTGACATAACAAAATGAGTATGACCTTCCAATTTGGCTTTTTATTTTCCTGTTTTGGCATCCCATAGACGGATAAACTTATCATCACTACCAGAAGCTATCATATTTCCATCATAAGAAAAACAGACTGAGTTGACAGTTCCGCGATGGCCATCCAATTTAGATATTTTTTTCTAACTCATAACATCCCATAGGCGAATAAATTTATCTTCACCACCAGATGCTAATGCATTTCCATCAGGTGAGTAACAGACTGACGTGATTGCACTAGAATGGCCATTTAATTTGGCTTTTTATTATCCTGTTTTGACATCCCATAGGCGAATAGACTTATCATCACTACAAGAGGCTAATGTATTTCCATCAGGAGAAAAACAGACTGATCTAACAGTTTTAGTATGACCATCAAACTTGTCTTTTTATTATCCTGTCTTGACATCCCATAGACGAATTGAGTTATCACCTTATTTC